AAATGTAATATGTATAAAAAAGAACATTATCATAGTTTAAATTTTGTTGACACTTTAACGGCGGTTAATTTTTCTATTGATTCACAGAACATAATAAATTCTTTTTGTGTATAATGTTTCAAGACAAGCACAACATATCTCGTTTGATCTTTATTGCGGAAGCTGATTTTTTTTATTCTCGTTTATATTACATTGCTTTCAGTTTCTGAATTTTCCTTTCTTAAATACAATATATGAGCTTTGTTAAATCATGAAAGCCAAATGACATACCACATTGGACTTGAATTGAACATAAGTTACACTATTTTGTAAAAGTATAAAGTGAAATATAAATAGTTGTGAAATTCTGTGACTAAAATAAAAGTTTATATCAACCATTTGGAAACATTGCAATGAATAGAAACACAGCAATAGTGATTTTGTACAATACTGATTAGAGTATCATTAGCATGATGTCTAACTTTATGCTTTCAAAATATATGTATTTACATTTTAACAATGTGATATTATTCCTAAGTAATGACATATACTTTAATTCTATTTATTAGCACGTGGCCTTTCATTTATAACGTGTATAAACTGATTAAAATGCCATTATCGGGGGTTATAATATAGAAAGAACTAGTATTGACATTTGTTCAATTGTCCAATTTACAATAAGTGTGAACTTACCATATGAATTGTCATGTTAGAATGACTTTCACGTAATGTTTATCACTTTATATTGAAAATTGCAATTGATAACATTGGCACATTTTATTGGCTGACCAATCTATTCAAAATAATGGATTCTATGGAGGACAAAATGTGTATACCGTTATAAATATGAGATCGACACTTAGACATGAAACTAAGTTCTCTATTTACATTCAAACATTCAGATCAATCATCGAATTCTTTTTATAAAACTTATCTACCAAATTCAATGCAGATCTACTCTTGACTTGGCTAATGTATTGCTTCAATTAACGATAATTATTTAACAGGACAGATGATTTGTCATTGAACCAGTCGTATTGCCTGTTCACACTTAACAGACGATTGTTGTGTCTGTAATGAATTTGCCTAGTTTTGTGTTACACCCCCTTCAAAGATAAAGGAAGGGATGAACGGGGTTGCATGGTTATGTGCTGGTGACATATATTATTTACTTTATCGTAAAGAAGAAATCAGGCAATTTCGTAAATTGTTGTTTTAAAGATCATTTTGAAATCTGATAAAGGAGTGAATACATTTTTTCTAGTACATGTAGTATTCGGCCGGTTTCTTTGTACATGTTTGTGGTTAAAGTATCTGTCCTCTATTGTAAAATATCTGTTGATTTATTATATAATAGAAACAGTTTTTAAAAGCAAATGTATTCCCCATTTTGCTCTTGCAACATTAAAATTGATTTTTATTGGTTTTATGTAATGCAGTACACACAGAAAAAGTACATTTAACATCATATAGTAATTCGAGTTTTGATTATCATGTACCATTTCTCAGATGGGTTATATATTAGAATAATACAATAAACTTATAAAATATCTTCATAACTTTTCAAGCCATTTGAAAGATTTGAAAATCATCTAAAACAAACAATAGGACTGTAAGTTGTTCTTAGATAAAGCAAGCAGAAGCGAACATTTTTAAATAATGAGCAAAAGGAAAAACGAAAGAGAAATTGATTAATGACAATTTTAATGGATAATTGAAAGCTTTTGTTTAACAGTCATTTGTAAAAGGAAAATAAAAACTAATAAAGATCTGTACTTTTTTTTAAAGAAAACTTAAACGGCGGAAGTCAACAAGATTGTCAAATATGTGTGAATATTGTGTTGCTTTTTGTAAGATTAAGTATATACAAAGAAACAATACCAACATCTGGGAATCTGCCAATCCATTTGTTCTGAAATGTAATAGTACTTATGATCAAATAAGCTTAACAAGAACATAAAATTCCTTAAGAACTAAAGATCCTTTAAAATCAATAAAAACGCAAGAATACGACTCAGTTTGTTGACAATGTTTATAGAAGACGATCAAAGCTAAAAGCTGTGACACATTTTCTACTAGCACACCAGCAGCTTTCGCAGTCTTCACTCTTCAACACTAGAACATATTGAACTTATTCAAGGATATTACGCAATAAATAAACTATATAAAATTTGTAATAAGAACTTAGAAGTGTGTTTTATTTTACAAGAAATTTTAAGTGGCATTCGTCTTAAGTAGTTGGAAATATATATATATATATATATAAAATAAAACTTAATCAGAAATACTTATGATAGGTGGTTGTAAGTAAAGTTGACACTTCTATACCTTTTGTTGCCTTTCATTTGAAAAAATGCTTTATAACGTTAATTGTATAACTAAAACACACGGATCAGACCTGCGTATGAATTGAGTGATAATATGATTTTACAATATTATTCTAGATAACTAGCTATCGAAATGTACATTAGTAAAACCATATATTTTAACTTTTTTCTATGTAAACATTACATATATTAATACATTAAATTAACTAGTATACAAAAATTATCTCTATTTAAGAGAATGACTCAAAACTTGTAAAATAATGCGCTTAAACGCATTGGAAAATATATATTTTTGCAATTTGTTATCATGCTAATTCAATATCATTGAAGGACACTTGAATCACACGTTAGTCATTCACACTTCCATATTGTTACGAATATTGAGTATTATTATACAGTAATAAAAACCGTGAATTATGTCGATAGTATTTTTTCGTTTCGTGTCAAGTATCCCCATATAATGAAACTACTCAAACATTTGTTTTATGTCAGAAGATATATTCAATTGTTTACTATGGACAATACAGTGTTTGCATTTTTTATTCGTTTGAACATAAAACATATTTATAAGTGTAATATTTCGTAAAAGTGAAATAACATTTCGTATAAAACGAAATAACATTTATAGTAAAGAAATAATATTTCGTAAATACGAAATGTATTTACCTTGGAAGGTTACATTGCAAGCACTTACACAACTGCTACTAATACAAACAACTTCTACATCTATCAAAGACACAGTATAAAAATTAACATTGCCAGCACCACTTACTTCTTCTAACACTGACACTAACAATTCACATAGACAAGCAATATCGGCCGCTACTTAAGTTCTTAATTAGAACACACTTATGTTTACTTCAAACCAATCCCTTAGTTTTATCAGTATCATCATTGAGACTCCAGTTTTTACAATAAAATAAAGAAGATTTAGACTTTTTTTAATCAGTTCTTGTGAAACATAAAAATAACCATGCCATCAGCAAAAAAGTAAAAGCATAAAGTATGATATCACGTAGCTGAATTACACTGTTAATGCTCTAAGAATATGTTTACATTATCATAAAACAAACAGAAAATGAAACACTTTTGGTGAAATAACCTCCTCTTAACGGATACCTCTAATAACAAAAATAACACGAGTCATAAGAGATTTCTGTAAATACTATCAAATACATACATACAGGATATACGTTTATTTTGTTATATATATCGGACAGCTTCAGTAATATTCCATGTCCCAATCCAATTTGAGCTTTAATATAAGTAAATTTGTTTACAATAATCAAAGATTTGTTCAACTAGAATAGGTGTGAAAATATAAACATAATGAGATAAATGGATAAGCAAAAGTAGATTAACTAAATGGAATAACCTTTGTTTACTTAGACCACCACAATGTTTGATCAATACATTAAAACAATTGCACTTTAGAATGTTAACGTTTACACACAGTTCATTGCGCAACCTTTTACGACAAAACATAGCTAACATTTGGCAAGGTTATGTTAAAAGGTGTTTGTTTTGTCTTTAAATATCATTTGAATGGAAAGTCATAGTTTCTTTTTTTCCCGAATCTACTGAATTGTCTAAAATAATTAAGAAATGTAAAAGGAACACATCAGGTGTTTCATCTGTAAAAAAACTCATTCCTTTATTACCTTTTAATTTGTTTATATGAAGCCTAGACGTTCGTAAAGGTTTAACTTTAAACATAAGCATTTCATACTTAATGCATATAATTTCTGATAAACTCGAAGGAGTGTCTTGGTTTATTTCATGTTGAAAATTCCCACAAACAGATTGTAAAAGTAAGACGAGAATGTCTTTACTTCCGTAAAGAAAATATCATTGTTTTACATATATGACATTATGTAAATAATTTGCAATTGTAAATGAAAGACTGATTTTAGCAGGATGTGGATTTCGTTGTTTTAAATCGTTTATTTAGTTACTTTCTATTTAAAATTAGTCTTATTATCAACACGTGTACAGCAAAAAGTTGTACTTGTACATCGTATATGATAACAAAATGCAACATAAGGAAACACGCTTTTCTTATTACAAAACTATATTGTAAGAGAGACTTAAAAGAATACACTGTTTTTTAAATATATCTTACGACTTATATATTGATCGGTCTTATTTTGACTTTCCTAAATATAAAATTATAACGTCTGATATCTATCGAGAAAGTCTGTACATGAAGCTAAAAATATACAACTGGATGATTTAGCTATAGCTTCAAATAACACTTACGTAGATAGATGTTAGTTGTCACCTTATTTGGTATATGACTAATATGGAATACACATCACAAGAACAACAATTTGATTGTGCGTTCATATTTTCAGTTATTTTTTGTGTTTGAAAATAGGATCTTAAAAAAAATTATTCCAAAAAGATTATAGTACAATGAATCTATCCATAGATATGTTCTTATGATAAGCTATACGATACGAGCAGAAAAAAATATGTTTGCATGACAACATGTTTGAAACAATATACCTGAAACAAGTTTCATTTGATCTTTTTCAACACTTTTACGTTTTTATTGAATAGCGAAATAATTACAGAACTTGTGTGATTTTAGCGGCCTTATTTAAGCGAGCACTTCAGATTTAATGAAGAGATATAACAATCATTTGGAGCTAAAAGACAATTATAACTATGTGGAATATTTTTTTATTTCAGAACGGTGAGCATAATTTGCTGAGAATGGAGTTTACGTGACGCGTTCTGTACATGATGCTTACCAGACAAAAATCTTACAGCTGTATAATCATACTTATAATGTTTTCTCTAAATATAGCAGGTAAGATTTTTGCCTTTGTTCAGTTTTCATTCTGGAAATATTACTTATTGAGACTTAATATCTTGATACCTTAATATTATATAATTCTCTGCTATTTAACAAACATGAATATTGTAAATAAACAGAATAAGATATTCCGGAACAAAATATTAAGCTGCTATTTTAAGTAGGATTGTATCCATTTAACATGCGGCATTCGCTTTTTTATGCTAGCATTTTGGAAGATGTACGAGTATTCTATCTTAAGATTCTAACAATTTTTTGCAGTAGAATGCATAAACAATTTTATCCGAATAATCTAAAATGAATGAAGATATATCCTTAAAGAAGTTTTTTAATAAAATACAGTGACCAAATGACATGTTACGCATTGTGAGTTAAAGATCCTGTTACTCAGTTTTTTTTTATAGTTTTATATCATAAATATAATGCTCAAATGAAGATTTATCAATATTTTAAGTTCCGAAAAATTATTTGTAAAGATATTACCGAATTTATATTTCATTTTAATAAAGGGAGGTAATAAGAAATGTATTTTGTATTAAGTCTAAGTCAAATGTTTCAATAAGAAATGAATGCATATATTTTAATGATAACATATAATGTGCACATATATTTGCAAAACATATTTTACATATTCTTCGATGTTTGAAAATCGTTTTAGAAGCATAATTATATATATATATATATATATATATATATATATATATATATATATATATATATATATATATATATATATATATTTCACTTAAGTGTGGTTACAACCTTGAATAAAACTTACAGGATCTTTAAATTGTTTGAGGTTTATATCCTCAACTATAAAGAGAATCGTGTAAAAAATGCTTTAAACTATCTTACATTTTACCTTTAAAGCAGCAAGCGACCAGATTCATGCTAATGTTCACAATTTTTTTTAAAAATGAATTAAAAGGTATACATGTTAGTTAGTAACGCAGTAGAATATTGTGATAAATACCGCAAAATCAGTCATTTATCGAACTAAAAATGTTAATTATTGCTTGATTCGCATATTTCATACCTTCTTTCAGATGGTCTGCGATGTAAATGGTCAAATGAGAATTGTGATTCGGACTCTCAGTGCTGCAGTTCTCGTTGTGTGAAGTTACACGAAGGAACTAACCCTCGTTGTGCAAGTTCTCCAATGCACTATCCGTGTTTCTTCAGCTATCAGTGCGAGGACGGACTTACATGTGGGGACTATTATACTTGTTGTGCTCCGTTTTGGGGTGTATGTACTGACAAAGATGATTGTTGTGACCCACAGTACGTGTGCCGGGAGGAAGATGGTTTCATTTACAATCGATGCCTGTCGCCAAACGGTGCTCCATATTTGCCAGGAAGCTCAATGCTCATGTTGACAATACAGGCTTATTTTGTGTTGAACGTTTGGTACAAATTACATTTACAATCATGACATATGCAACACATTTTGCCTTGTGCATGCAATTGCATGTCAACTGTCTATCGAACGCCTTCTGTTCAATGCATAACATGATATCATGTTAGCACAAAACATGTACAAAAATTTGACTATATTGGTTATATTGCTTACAAAGTAGAAAGTATAAGTATGACTTTGCTCAACATAACAGCATTTTGTGATTAATCACATGTGTTATACTGATGTGGTATACTGGTTGATATAGGGAATACTTTACTTTTTTATACAAGTCTATAGTACACGGTGAACATGTTTTGATGTTTGCATATTAAATAGTAATTTTTGGACCTTGTTTGAACTATTTTTAAGAATGCGAATATAATAAATAGTTCAAAAGGCAGTTAAATAAAAAATATAATATACGAATAGCGGAAATATTTGATTATTTTATTTTGAGATCATCGGAGAATCTTAAAATATATGTTTGGACAAAAAATATATCAAAGTTGCAAAACTTCTGATATATAAAGTATATATGACTTTGATATGACATATCTTTTTTCGGGAACATTTTCAACTTAAATGTAACTGCATATCAAAATCCTTCGTTTGCACAAAAGGAAATAGTGATAATAAAGTACTAATCGAAAATGTGTTGTGACCGGGAAAAATAAAGACTATTTTCGATGATCAGGCAACCAAAACGTGACATAGTAAATCAATTGGAAAGTTTCGTTGGTTATAAAATTCACTTTGCCAAGTTAAAGCAAAGTTATTCAAATTGTTTTGTGTAGCGATTGGCCCAATGTAAAAATAAAACATTAGTTACAATTATAATAGCAGGAATAATAATTTGAGCATGTGTATACATGTATAATAAAATCACCAGAATGATTGCTGTAATATAATTAAAACAATGAAAATTGATTCCTGTATGAAAATTAAATAGATAACATATATGTTTTGAATAGATAAATAAATGTTTATATATCTAAAAGCGTTGTTTTTTTTTCTATTTGAAATTTGTGTGGATTATTATTTGTTAAATTAGACCATTTGGCTGTAAATATAAGTAAATATAAACTATATCTAATATAAATGTCGAGAAAAATTAAAGTGCTTATTTATCACAAAAAAAGTTCATCTATTTATTTGCGTAACGTAGATCATAGTTCTCAGGGTTGTTGTGAAGTAACCATGAGCTTAAGTCAAACAGAACAGGATTTCCTTTTTATATGGGTTGGGTGTAGCTTGATACTATTAACTTAATAAGTTTCTGACCAACGTTAGATATTCGTTCTCAAAGTGCGTTCACTCGAACCTGTTACCCATTCAGAACCATCATCTACTTAAACTTAACAACCCTAGGTTCTCTTTTTTCAATATTTTGTCAGGTCTTGCTTTTCTTTTAACATATAAGTAGCCTATGTCACTATCTAACAGAAAACATGCATGTTGTTTATAAAGAAACTGTAACATTTTCAGTTGTAGAAATCATATTGAATTTTAAAACTACCAATCCAATACCTTTTAAATTTAATCAAGAAATTGAATGTAACTTATAGTTCTTTAACATACCCCCTTTTATACCTACTGTTGAATAATGCTACAGTGGAATGTCGATACATAGCTTAATTTCTGAATAAGTAATTGCTTCAATTAATGATGACCACTTCAAGCAATAAGGTGAATTCCCTTGACATGGTACTAATTGTCTAGTTTATTTGCCTGTCTTCTGCTATAATTTCGTTTAGGAAAAATGACGTCTGTAGCATATTATCTATCATTCAAGTAATTTCCGGTTAACATATTACAAAGTTAAGAAAAAATAGTTAAATAATTTAAAAGATGATTTAGCATTTTTAAAGCTAATTATATAAAAAGGAAAAGTCCCATAATGTTTAATTTTTAGCCGTAGTCAATAACGATTTTACAGTTAATTTTATATCAAATGTAGATACAGATGGTAATGTAATATTTATAATTTATTTATAGTTTTCACTAATAATTTGTCTTTAAAAATGTCAGCATAGAACTGTCGCATTGAAACGCCAAAATGCGGAAGTAACCCATCATTTGTATGTTGAAAAGCTTAGACTTTCCTGCCAGTATTGATATGAAAAGTAAATAATAATGTATAAACATTAATATGCGTTTCAACATTTACTAGTTTAGTCTGGTTTACTACAAATATGACCCCGCGTCAGGGAAAAAACCCAACTTTTATTTCCCGTTTGCGACCAGCAGGATCCAGCCCCACCCTTTTGCGCTCCCACAGCCCTACCCAGTATCCATTGTTTTCGTTAAAAAACCTTATTAAAAAGGGGTAAAAGAAACGGGATAGCAAACCCCAAGCATGGCATTCCTGATCAAGACTGCGGCGGAATGGCGCCATGCTGGTTCTGGATCCCTTTTGCTTTGGGTGCAAACGCACTATGTTGATTTTGTTCGTTTGATTGGCTCATTTATTTTCTTCATTGTTCACTTGTTTTTCTCAAATATTGTTTTACAATTGCCCGCGTTGCTTTTTTGTACAACGTTTGCGTGTAGGTTTGCCATTCCCAGTTAACATTGGTACAAAGAGGTTTGGAATACGGGTCGATACCTTACTTAAAGTCTTCATGGAAAAAATTCGTTTTTGGGGAAAAAAAAAGTTAGGTCTGGATGATTTATTTCGGAAACTTTTTTAGACATCATCTTTTCTTATGTTTTTAACTTAAAATAAGAGCTTTTTTTGTAATAACAAATATAATTTCGTTTTTTCCTTGACTTTGATTGAATCAGCCGAATATTAAAAATTGTATCTTTTTTTAAAAATTGTTTTTAAATTCTGTAAAAAAAATTTAAAAACTATTGGAACGTTGGGATATTTTTCAAATTGTTTCGCTTTTTTTGGTTTCGAAAAAAACGACTTTTTTTTCCCCCTTTAAATTTAAAAAAATGAACACTCCCAAATTTTTTACTTTTTCACATTAACCCTTTTTTCAAGTATAAGTGACATACTTTTCAAAAAACAGGGAAACTTTTTTCTTTTTTGGGCCTTTTGACTCTCTTTTTTTGTTTCCTTTTACCTTTTCATATTTAAACGTGACTTTTCCCTTTTTTAAAGGGAAACCCTCCCATTAATATCAAAACCCCTAAATTTTTTAAATTTACTTTTTTTAAATGAATTTTATAGCAAAAAAACTTTGAATTATGGACCCCGTAAAAATTTTAAAATTATTGCCTCTTTTTAAAAGCATTTCTTTTCAAGAAATTTTTAAAATTTTAAGAAAATGGAAATTTCAAAATTTGTTGACTATTACTCCATTTGCGTTTGTGATGCAGAAGTAATTAAAATAAAAATAAAACAAAAAAACCACAAAAAACTTTTTGCATTTTCTGGTAAAGTTTTTTAAAAGGGTTTTTCCCTCGTTAGGCTTCTGCATTTTTCTTTTAAAAACCCTATGTGATTTTTTCCCAAAAAAATTTTAAGGCGTTTCTGAAAAATTTAAAATTTTGAAAATGATTTTTTTTTCATTTGTTCTGGGGTTTGGGGGCCATTCGAACTTTTTATGATTTCCCACTTAAGTGCTTTTCGCATTTTTTAAATGAGGGCACACCCTTTAAAACCCCTATCCCCCAAATGGGGCCAAAAATTTTTGACGGGAAACCTAAAAAATCACTGTTCCATTTAAAGGCAAAAATCTTATTCGCCTTTTAATTTTAAAAACGATGATTAAATTTTTGAAGCAGGGAATTTGTCTGTTTGCCAGTTGTCTTGTCTAACAAATTAATTAAACGGGTGAGAGAATGCGTACAATTGCTGCTTTTGGAGTGTTCAAACTATAAATAATGACTTATCTTTTCTTTTGCATTCTCAGTCCTTTTTTTAATGCAAAAAAAATCATTCACGAGATTTAATTATTTGTTTTGAAACGTTTGATCTATTTCAATTTAAAGTTCTATGCTATTTTCAATGAGCAATGATATCAGATTGTACATTTGCTCAATAAATGATAACCAAACCGCATAGATATGAATACTTTTAACATTTGTGTCCGTGTGTATACTATCTGTACGAGACTATCCTTGATTTGCTATTTTAAGTTCGAACTGTTAATAAATAGAGACAATTGAAATAAGGTTTCTCATTTTCATGAGGTAAACTCGCTTAAGCTTTCATCTTTGTTAATTTTTAGACGTTTAAAACTTTTTTGAGATTGAGAAAAACCTTTTTGCACGGTATCCTTGTTTAAATCATTTTGAGATTATTCTTATATTTGTATAAACAATTTTCCGTACAACTACCGGGGATTAGACACGGACTAAAGTACCCACTGAAGAAGTCATACGTACTCACTCATCCAAAACAAGATATATTGGACCATTCATTTTGCTATACAAGAAATACGTCGGGCAGACAAGAGGAACAAATCATAATCAAAATAAGTTAAATGTCGATGTTGCACATCAAAGACGCCGCCAAATGATGTGAACAGTCAATCAGCATTGAAAATCGTTCTCTATTACAGTTGAATATCCGAAGCAGCATAAAAAATATGGTTCTATGGTTTCTCTATGTTTTCTTGGTATGGTGCTCGTTTGTTTAATAACTAAGTTTGCCCACTTTTTGTGGAAAAAGTATAACCTAATGCCAGAAATTTCACAACGCCAATGCCCATGTTCTGTTGAAAATTCTTTAAATGTTTGTCTGATTTGGCGATAAAGATTTGAAAAACGTTCTGGTCGAAGCAAAATAAAAATGGATAAACAAAGTAAAAATTGGAAAAATGAATTGGTATATTAAAATTAAATTTTCAAAAACAATTTATGGTGCAAGAAATATGACTGTTTAAATATTGAATACGAATTGCATAATGTTCGAATGATTTTGAGGAGTGATATCCCCATTTACTTGGCCGGGTAGCCTAAACCGACGTATTTTCTTAACGGTTGAGGGAGAAACCGCCTCTCTGAATAGTGAGCGCGGTTTAGGCTTTGTAACTTGTTAATTTTTAATGATTCGACAAGTTGATATTGATCAAAAATTGTCCTGGTTCCCTTCCGCCCCCCGTCAACGAAGACTAAATGTTAGCTATAGAGGCGTCATATTAAATTTGGCGGACAATTTAAGGGCAAGAGCCTGAACTTCAACAGAGGCGGAGCAAATGGAAGTGAGTGGACACTGCCCTCAATCGTTACATCTTCTCAAGGGTTTTAAGTTTTTTAGAACGATCGGCTATAGACTGGCTCATTGGCATGATATTTTTTATGGAAGATCAAAATAGATAACGATAGAAAGAGTTTATGATTATACAAAACATGGCACTATCACTTCAATTAAACGTTTATTTCTAATCCCTTAAAGCTCTGTGACATGTTGTACATCAGAAAAGCTATTTTATTAGAAAATTTTTGAAAACAGTGTGATTTTGTTTTTAAAAACAAACAAAACAAAAATAAATAACACACAAATCAAGTCTAAAATTTTCCCATTGCTGTATGGACCAAATGCAAATTATCTTACTAGACGCACAAGCGGGGCGTCTAAAGTAAAAGTACACCGCCAATTCACGCCCGTTTTAACTCACAAACGAGTGAAAAATGTTCCCATCGGTAAAATGTTGTAGCAACTTCCGTTCCCCTCGTTGTGAAGCACCCATCTTTTGACGTGGTGACACGATTAAACAAGGTAAGTTTTTCATAATTTTTTGAAGATTACAAGACATTTATGTTAAAAATATCGAAATGCAGTTAGCTAACGATGTTGTTTCCGAGTATTGCAACATGTAAAGATATTGCCTGTTGGTGGAAAATTTGAAATGGAAATACCGTGCGGGGCCAGTCCATTTTGGGGGTACGGGAAAAAAAGGGGAAAACCCTTTTTTTGGCCCCAAATTTTAAACCCTTTGGGAAAGTAATTTCCCTGGTAAATGTTTTGTGCATTCAAACCAAAAAAAAGATCCCCCACAATTTCTTAGCGAAATTATTATCTGAAAGCCCCTTCATAGA